TGCTGAGCAGTTTTAGTGTCAACTTGACACACCGGGGTTGAGGGAGCCTCAATTGGGGAAATCACCTCCCTTGGACTAGCCTGGGGTATCTTCTTGATTGCTGAGTGTTGTAGGAGGGCCCAGGCCACTGTGGGTGGTGACACCCCTGGGCAGGAGGGCCTAGTTTGTATAAGAAAGTAGGCTGAGCAGGAGCCAGGGGACAAGCCAGTAAGCAGCGACCCTCCGTGGCCTGTGCTTCAGCTCCTGTCTCCAGGTTCCTGCCCTGAGTTCTTACCTTGGGCTCCCTCAGTGAGGAACTGTGACCCAGAAGATGTAAGCCAAATAAACCCTCTCCTCCCCCAGTTTTTATTGGTCAGAGTGTTTTGTCACAGCGAAGGCAAACTAAGAGAGGTCATCATGTGGCGTTCTGAGTAGAATCACACACAGTGTCACCACTCCACATCCTTCAGTTCGGGGCCCTTGGGACAATGCGCAGCAGTGCTGGTTGGGCCAGTGTGGAGGGCTCCTACTGATGCTCAGATTGCCACAGAACCTCAAATGGACGAGGGTCCTTCTGGTTGGAGATCTCTTCAGTCTGTGCTTAGGTGAGCAGTGTCTTCTATGGCTGCGTTCACCTCCACTGGCTGTTAGGGCACTGTTAATTTTTTTTTTTTTTCAGAGCTGAGGACCGAACCCAGGGCCTTGTTATTTTTCAAATGTTTTGGCATTTTTCTTTTCTTTTTCTTTTTTTTCAGTCTTTTTGAGACAGGGTCTCCCTGTAGCCCCAGCTGGCCTGCAACTCCCTATGTAGACCAGGCTGATCTCGAATTCACAGAGATCCTCTTGCCTCTGCCTGGGATTAAAGGCATGTGTGCTGGGATTAAAGGCATGTGCCACCACGCCAGCTGGCACCTTTCACGTGTAAAAAAATACACAAAAATCTTGGTCTCAAGTCAACATATCTAGTCTATAAGACAATGTGGGTCAGAGGGTCTTCCATAGAAAATCAGGAAGAGTTACTCTGAGAAAGGGGGAGGTACGTGGTAAGAGCAGCTAGTTTTGTTGTTGTTATTTTTTGTCTTTTTTTTTTTTTTCAGAGCTGAGGACCGAACCCAGGGCCTTGTGCTTGCTAGGCAAGTGCTCTACCACTGAGCTAAATCCCCAACCCCTATTTTGTTTTTTGAAACAGGATTTCCCTACACTGCCCAGGCTGGTCTCAAGCTTTTGATTCTCCCGTCTCAGCCTCCATAGTCCTGGAAATTCAAGCACAGACTACCATGATGGGTCCTTGGGTGCACTGGAAGTAATTCTGTTTTAAAGATTTTTTTTAAACTGGAAATCAATTTTTAGAGCTAATGAGAGGAAAAGCACCAGAAGAGGAGGTCCAGGGCAAACACCATGCAGCCCACACCCACCCCTGCAGGCTGGTCACCCCGCTTCAGTTCTCAGTGAGGATCCCTGTTCCCAGCTTAGCTGTGTGTGTGCCTGGAGCCAGGAAGAGCTGTGAAGGGGAGGCTCACACAGACCAGCCCCCAGCCCTCCCCCAGGGTGGGTGAGGAAGGGGGATACAGCCTTGGAGAGCCCCAAGGACAAACCTCCTGAGGGCCCTGTTTGCCACACACCACACCACCACTGGCATTTCTTAAGTCAACTTGGGGACGTTCAGTACTTCTTTGAGTCTAACTGTAAGTCTCTATCCTCACATGAAATTAAAAGTAGCATTTCGTTCCTCCATCTCCATGAGCCCCTCCACTTCTGGTTATTCTTCAGTCTGACTCCAGAAGGTGACATGTGAATGGGGACTCTGGATGGGAGACAGTGGCAGGGCCTCTCCCTCTGCACCCACTGCCAGGTATGGGAGGACAAAGGGCTGGCAGAGCCCTATTCCCATGTCCATCAGTTTGGGGGCCTGTCCCTTGACACCTTTCTCTAGGGGAGCTCTGTTTCTACACTTCAGATAATGAAGCCAGGTCCTGGGAGCAGGGCCAGTGCTTTGTGCTGGGAGAGAGCCGGGGGATGAGAAATCACTCCAAATCATGGGAGACCCCAACAAATTCAGAGACTCAAGGCCACTGAAGGTAGACGTCTAGTCATCACAGGGATCTGGGGTCCCCTCTGATGTGCAGATCAAACCCTGCAAAGGGTTGATGGAACCCCTTGGAAGTCAGGGAGGCCCCTTCTGTTCTGTGCTCCTCATCCACCCTGCCCAGGTTCATGTCCTCTGCCACATGTGGTGCACACATGCATCTGGGTTTAGGCTAGCTGGTGGGGCATCTCCATGAGGAAAGTCAGTGGTGGTGTTGCCAGTGAGCTTGAAGAAAATCAGATTCTTTAGACACTTAAGGCTAATGGACTGGAGGGCAGGAAGACATAGCAACATCTCAGCAAACCAGCTGTGCTGCTCAGGGTACTTCTGACTGCAAGTCCCCAGTGATGCACCTTCTCCCACAGGACCTCCCTCTCCCCAGGACTGGAGAGGCCCCTGGTGTCTGGCTTAAACAGAATGACTGCCCACAGGCTGCCAAGTGCTGTCTTGTCCATCCTCATGTCACACATTTGGCCTCCAGCTTTGTCAGCACCCGATCAAAGATGGCTCCCACACCTGCAGAATGGGCTGAGCTGAGTTTCTGTGCACCTGAAGACCTGTGGCCAGGAGGATGCCATCTCGAACATCAATGGACAGATGGAAGGAGGAGGTGGCCATGAGGAGCTCATTCCAGTCTGCCCATAGCAGTGTGGCCTGGTCATCCAGAAAGAAGGAAGAAAAGTGGGGGAGGCTTGGTCCACTCAAGTGTGAATAGCTGTTTGTCAGCTGCCTGGCAGATGTCAGTCACAGGGTCATTTGGCCCCTGCAGCTACCCCACGTTCCCAGGACCCTCAATGCCCTGGTCACTCTTCTGCTCCACACCAAGTTCCGCTTCCAGGATCCTGTCCACATCTCCCCCAGGCCCCTCCCTGTCCTTGTCCTCCCCACTGACACTCCTGTACCACCTGCCCTCCGTGCAGGTCGCCAGGCACTTCTGACAGTGACAGTACTGACAGCGAGCTGGTGCTTGTTCACCGTGCCGTCTTTGTTGTCCTGACATCAGGTCAGGACCGCCAAATGGTGTGCCCTCACAGCTGTGAACCCCATGGTGATTGCCTAAGCTTGGTTCCTGCAGACTGCACACAGCTGTTTGCCGGCCCCTAGGACCATGTAGGCGGGGTGGACAGTGCAGGCCCCGGGCCCCTAAGACTGGTGCTTCACAGCCTCAGGGGAGCCAGACCCACCCTCAGGGAGTGACACTGTTGAGTTAATCTGAGGGCTGCTAACAGGCCCAGAGAATCCTGGGGGATCCCCATGGAAGAACTGATGACTGGGAAGGGGGGCCCAGTGGAGGGGTAGCATTGGAGGTGGAGGTGCTGACGGGGAAGAGGTGGGCCAGGAGGAAAAGGGGAAGTGATCTGAGAAAGAAGATTTGAGGAGCTGTCTGGGCTTTGGAGACAAGTTGTCAAACAATTTCACTCCTAATTGTCATGAGAAGAGTCAGGGAGGGCAGTTCCCGTGAAGCCTCCAGGCCAAGCAGCATTTGAGTGATTACTGGGTCATCGCAAGCATGTGGGGTGGACCAGTCAAGGCCTCCATTCCTAGCTTACATCCAGGTAGCCAGACAGTTCAAGGGGAAGACAGGGTGGAAGAGACCCCTCCAAGGATACAAGCTCAGCCTTCAAATGTCTAGGGTCCCCTACCCTGGGGACAGGGTCCCCTTCCCACACCTGATGCATCAGGTGCAGGCCGAGCCTCCACTGCACGTGGGGAAGCTCTGTTTTTAAAATTTTACTTTGTAATATTGAGAGGAATTTTAAGTACCTTAGAAAATTCTGGTTCTTTCTAGGCCAAAGGAAGAGCAAATATGGCCAGCGAGTGAGTGGTGATCCCCTGTGCTGACACGTGAGGCCCAGACCCTCCCACAAGGTCAGGGCGTCTTGCTGTGCAGGAGTCACAGGTACCCACCGACCCACACACAATTCACCTGAGGAGCTGGGAACTGGACAGGACCAAGTGAAGGATGACTTTTCCCAGTCTCTGAGGGCAAACAGCTCTCCAAGCTCCCTACCAGTATAGCATCTACCATAAAGGATGGCAGGCTGCACTCTGTACCCCCACCACACACACCCAGGCCACTCTGGCAAGAGCCTACCAGGCAAGCGCAGTTCCCTGAAGGAGGCACCCCACCGCTGCCAACCTGGGTAGAATCCTTGCAGGGCTGTAAAAGGTGGGGGGTGGTGTGTGAATTTGTTTCCTGCATATAGTTTTGCCATACAGAACCCAAAGAGGCAAGTCTGCAGGGTGCGGTGGCTCACAACCTTAATCCCAGCACTTGGGAGGCAGAGGCAGGCAGATCTCCGTGAGTTTGAGGCCAGCCAGGGCTATATAATGTCTCAAAACAATCAAACAAACCAAAGAGGCCAGAGAAGGGATTAGCTGTGCTATCAGGAGCTCTCGACGCCTCGCACAGCAGCAGTGTGGTCCCACACCTGCATGCAGTACGGTCAGGCTATGGTCAGCTTACTAAGGGCATGTACTGGATCGCTTTAGTGTCAACTTGACACACCTGGGTTGAGGGAGCCTCAATTGGGGAATTTCCTCCATTGGACTGCCCTGTGGCCATATCTGTGGGGCATCTTCTTGATTGTTGGATGGTGTGTAAGGGACAAGACCCCTGTGGGTGATGCCACCTCTGGGCAGGTGGGCCTGTGTTGCATAAGAAAGCAGGCTGAGCAGGGGCCAGGGGAGCAAGCCAGTAAACAGTGATCCTCCATGGCCTGTGCTCCAGCTCCTGCCTCCAGGTTCCTGCCCTGAGTTCCTACCTTGGGCTCCCTGATGAACTATGACCTGGGATATGTAAGCTGAATAAACCCTTTCCTCCCCAAGTTGGTATTGGTCAGAGTGTTTTGTCACAGCAATGGAGAAACAAACTAGGACAGGGCAGGGGGGGGACTTCTATAGCTTATCCCAGAAACAATGGAACAACAGAAAATTAAGAGACAGAATTCATTTATATTTGCACAGAGGGTGACACCAAGAAGGTTCTGGTTGAAGATAACTTCATTCACAGCACATTAGAGCAGAAACGGAATTATAATTTTCCTTGACTTTGGGTAATCTTCAAATTTCTCATGGTACCACCTAAAATAAGAAAAAAGTTTAAAAACCAATTTATCATGACACAAACATTTCATGGTCGCTAAAAAAGTGATATTTTTCACTATGTAAAGGATACTAAGATTTTTTTTTTTTACATTATTTGTGTGTGTGTGCACTTGGGTGTGCACACCCAATGGCAAGTGAGGAGAGGTCAAAGACAACTTTCAGTCAGTTCTCTCTTTCATTATGTGGGGTCCCGAGGTTGAACTCAGGTCCTCAGGCTTGGTAGAACATGCTGCCTTTACCGCCAAGCCATCTCACCAGCTGTAAGCATCTTTAAAGTAGTCATAAGGACCCTTTCATTTTGAACAGTGCAGCTCTGTCTATATTAAGAATAATTACAAATGTCTAAGTATGATTCTAAGGTGACCCAGGTGATATATCTTTCTTTCTGGAAGGGAAGTTGCTGACGTGTGTTAAAAAATGCAGCTGAGAGGAGGGAACTTGAGAGATGGCTCCTTGGTTAAGGGCATTGACTGCTCTTCCAGAGCACCAGGGTTCAGTTCCCAGCACTCACATTTCGGCTACCCATAACTCCAATTCCAGGGATCCAATACCCTCTTCTGATCTCCACAGGCACTGCACACACATGGTGCACTTACATCCATGCAGGCAAAACATACATCATAAACATAAAAACAAATACAATTTTAAAAATGCAATTGGTGGTGTTCACAGTTCAGCCCTTCATTCAAAACAAGGAGTATTTTTGGGTTTTGATATAAAGAATGTCAACAAAGGCACAGCTGTCCATGTTGGGGAGACAGCCAGTTGGGGAGGCTGGCATCTAAGCAAAGAGAATGAGAGTGAAGGGCAACTTGAGTCTGGTTGTGGCAACACATCCTACAGTTGAAGCTTCTTAAGCTGGGGTCGGGGCAGGGGGTGGGGCAGCTTGAGCCCTGGAGCTGGAGGCTGGAAAACCATTATCCACTAGTGTTAGAATGTAGGACGATGACCTGAAAGCAAAGCCGTAAAATGTACAGCTTTTAGGTGAGTCTAACACAGTCCACAAACACAGAACTCAGCCTCCGAGACCGCCACAGCCACGTCCATATGCTGGTCTGTGGGGTAGGAAAGCTTAGAAGCTGGTGAGGGCTCCGGGTCCAGGAGGCCCAGTGGCAGCGGCCTTTTCCAGCAGTCCGGTCACTGGTCACCAGGGCAGACAAGGCACCCATTTCACAATGGCCACTGACACCGACAGTTGGGGAAGCGAACAGCACACCCAAAGTGCCCCAGCCTCACCACAGCGGTTTCCGAAGAACTGCCCCAAGAGGGCAGCACGAGGCACCCAGCATCCAGACACCAGGCTGACTGACCGGCTCTCCAAGGAACTGCCCTGAAGAGAAGAGCGGCCTCGGGAGGGCTAAGGCAGCGTGCACAGCACTGCAGAAGTCACGAAGATGAGATGCACAGGGGTTTCTATGAGACCTTCATGTTGTTTGGATGCTGGATACCTCGGAACCTTAGAAAGGCCAATTGTGGGGTCAGGATGGCGTCTTACATAAAGGTGTGACTGTCAAACAGTTTGGGAAATCCTCTGACAGGTTGAAGTGAAATATGCTGTTAGTGATTAAAGTACATTTTTTTCCTCAATTACTGAAATCATAAAAGCACCTTAAAAAGTCACATTTTAAGGTTTGTTTTCTCGTTTTCATTCCTAGAATTAAAGCTATTATCTGTGTGGCCCTGGGCAGAGTCGACTATATTTTTCTGAGGTCTTATCTTTTCTGGCCCAAACTCGCCCCAGTGCCTCTCTGCAGAAGGCTGACCCCCTCCCCCCCCAATCCCACCTGGCTTCTATCAGTCTTCAGGCTCTTCTTGGGGGCACCTATGGCTTTTGGACTTCGGTTTCTCTGTGGCAGGTCTTTCTCAGGGGGCTTATCTTTACAGCTTTCCAGGACTCCGGACTTTTTACATTAGTCTTGTGAGGAAGGAGCGCTGGGAACGGGCACATTCTGTTAACATTCTTGCTTACCCTCCTTTTTTCAAATCACTATGTACCAACTCTATGACCATGTCCTTGGGACACAATGAGTTGTTTTTTTAAGCAACATTTAACTTAACAAATAGGTACGCGTTGCAATATTTCAATTTCCATTCCCCCCTCCCCCCATGCTCATTGAATGGTGATGGAGAGAGTGGCTTCATCTTTACGTGTGTGTGTGTGTGTGTGTGTGTGTGTGTGTGTGTGTGTGTGTAAATTTACTCAATGGCTGATCTTCACATATCTTGTGAACAAGCATGTCTGTACTAGTCCACCACTTCACAGAGAGCTGTGATTTCTGTGCAGGCTTCACTAGTTAAAGCAAAGCTCGGGCTCCTGGAAAAGACTACCTTTTCTCTGAATTCCTTTAAGTTCTGCCCTCAAAAGAGAACGTTACTAGCAACCTACAACAGCTAATGGCCTAGAGCTTCCCCGCCAATATAAGCATTTGTGAACTTAAACGCAGATGTTGATAGAATTTCACTGTCAGACAATATTGTCTTTAGAACACTATAATAAATACAGTGTAAGGAACTATTGTGTGGCGTGCTTTCTTTTGGAATAACTTATCTGATGGGTTAAGTGTTGGGTTTATTATTTTCTGTGGTTTTTCTTAAGGTAAGAACTATTATTACAGGTCTATAATCTTAGCTCTTGAGAGGCTGAGGCAGGAGGATCTTTAGTTCCAGACCAGACAGTGCAACACAACAAGATTCTGAGCACCCCTAAAAATAAAACAAAAAACAATTCAAAAAAAAGGATAAATTCTTAGTCCTCAGCTTGCAAGTCCAACATTGCTGAACACACTTCCACAAAACTAAATTAATTCTTTAGGGTTTAAAATCACCTTACGTTGACAGCAATTCAGGTGAACAGCAAATCAATGACAAGCCTTTTCAACTCCGAAATCCTTCTGCAAGTGGTGAGGACCGGAGACAGGAACTGGCTGGGCAGCTTGGGGCAGGGGGCAGTTCCATTCTTACCCTTGGCAGAAGCAGGCAATGTCCTTGGTTCTCTGACTAGGAATGCCAACAGAGAGCTCTGGTTTCTTATCTCCTCCTCAGTGGGCACCCTGGTCTGGAAGCTATGTGTGAGGGTGTGACCAGAACTCCCCAGTCCAGATGCTAACATTCTTGTGGTGGATATGGGGTCTAGTGTGTCCCAATTTCAGCCTGTCTCCTAAAGGCTGTTTCAGGGTCCCCATTCTTAAAAAAAAAAAAAAAAAGACTTTGAATTCTGGGTATGTGCATGTGAGCCCAAGGTGTTCATAAGGTGTCAGATCTCCTGGAGCTGGAGTTACAGGCAGTTGCAAGCAGCTCGATGTGGGTGCTGGGAACTGAAGTTGGGTCCTCTGTAAGAGGCAGCAGTGTACCCTCTTAGCTGCTATGCCATCTCTCCATAGGGTACCCATTCTCCAGGGGAAATGTCACAGTAGCCTTTGGAGGTCAAGGGAAAGAATGGGCTCTCTCTCTGGTCCTGGGTGGAGGCATGGCATTCTGATCTGCTCCAAAGATTAAAACAAGTTGTACTGGTGTCCCCTCCCTTGAGAGCTAATGCAGCGGGGCCTGTGAATCACCCAGTCAAGATGCCATCCCTCTGGAAGGCTGATTCACCAAGGACATGCTGAAGACATGGAGAATCAATGTGGTAACGTACCACCCCAAACCATACTCGTGCAGTGTCTTAGGAACCAGCACTCCTGAGTCAGCCCACTTTTCCGGGTAGAAAATTCTAACTGTTCCCTCTTGGTCAAACTATGTTTTTTAAGTGTGTTTTTCTCATGGTACTTTCTCTTGCTTGTAGCGCCTGCTGACCTCCGCTGCTGAGCACTCTGGCCAGCTCTAAATGCATGGCTTTCTCTCGTCCCCTCTCCGTGTCCCTCCCGAAGGGGGCTGCTGAGAGTTACAGCTTGCCCACCCTGTTATGTTCTCTCAAGTTCTAGTAAAACTGTCATTCGACCTCCTTCTGGGTATTCTTTAAAGTCTTTTATTAACAAGGTTAAGAACCCAAAGAGGACAGACCCTAACAATGATGGGACCCCAACTTCCCCGGCAACACAGAGAATTCCTTGGGGTTTTCGACAGCAGAGCCTTCCATTTGGAAAACAGAACTGTTTCTTTTCCATTTCTGTGTGTTCATATTTCTAGGTAGAGAGGAACTTTTTCTGATTCCCTGTTTGTTAGGGAAAGCTGCCTGACAACAGACTTGAATGCCTCTGGATCCAGTTTTCAAAAGTATGAATGCGCTTTCATCTTCCCTGTTGAAAGCAAGCCACCATTCACCTTTCTTATCAGATATGTAATACAAAGCACTGTCTTGAAGGTGACAACAGACTGACAGGGGCCCTCTGCACAGGGAGCCTGGGGTGGAAGGAGGGGCCGTCACTAGCAGTGCAGGCCTCGCTCACTCGGCTGCTCACCTCATGCTTTGTTCTACTCAAGCTCTTAGACTTGGTCAGACCCGGTTAGCCTGCAGTGGGCATCGTTTCCATCGAACCTTCTACAAGATCATCTAGTAGAGAGATCTGAGGCCTTCAAAAGTCAGACTCTGCCTTTACTTCCTTAAGGCCCAGTCAATTAACAAGGGCTTATGTCTGGTGTGTCTGTTTCTTCCATGTAGCTGTGACAGAGCACCAGGAACTCAGGTGCCTAGAGCACAGCAACAGCTCCTCTCCCACAGGCCTGAGGCACACTTGAGGCACAGACATGCTCAGTCTGCGGGCCTCTTCTGGCTTCTGGTGGCCCGGGTGTTCCTGGATCCCTCTGCTTCTGTGTGTCCACATGGCGTTCTCCTCTGTGTGTGCATCTGTGCCCCACTTCCCACATTTTATCAGCAGACCATCACAGTGGCTTGGACCCATCAAGTTCTGGTACGGCCTCATCTTCCCAGTCATCTCTGACACGCACTCCACGATCAGGGCTGCACACAGGGACTCGGAGGCAGGACACCTGCCTTTCATTGTGGTGGACACGGTTCGGTCACGCAGCGGCGTTGTTCCTGGCTGCCATGTTTCCGGCCGCCCGACGATCTAATTCCTTTTGGAAATCTTTGTCACAGGCGCATGTCTGTTTTGTTCCATCCTGCTTTCTCAACAGCTCTGGGGTTGGCAGGTCCTGACTCTCTGATCCACTTCTGTGCTTCCCTCTTCATGTGAGGACGCCCAGCCACTGGCACAAGGGAGGGTCTCAAAAGATGAGACCCTCTCCTTAGGTTTTCCTTCGCTATTCTAAAGTCAAATATCAAATTAAGAATACAAAAAGTATTTGAAAACTTACTGATGATGTTGTTTGGCTCTGGTGAACAAAATGCAAAATGAGAAGAGGGCAAACACCCCGCCTTGGAGGGACCAGCTGGCCAGCGCAAAGCCGCACCACTCCAGGATCTCCCCGAGATAGTTGGCTGCAGACACGTATTCAAACACACCTCCTAGACAGAGACAGAGAACATAAATGACACCTAGTGAGATACTCACGGGATGCCAGGCTACACTCACTTAGAGAACATAATTTGTGGAGAACATAAATTCATCTGTGCAAAGATACCACCTTCATGGAATGTTAACTGAAAGGTCAATGGAGGGCCAACAAGGGACGAGTGACTGAGACAGTGCAGGCCTTTATTTGAGGAACACTTGCTGAGGGGAGGTCTCTGTAAGAATAAAGGATGTCAGATGATTGATCAACATCTTTCCTGGCTGGCCATTACCTGGGATCCATGGGATAGGGCAGACAAGAATCTGGGGAAACATATTCATTTACTTCTAGAAACCAAATGACTGTGTCTATTGGGATTGTCACAGTTTAACCAAAATGGAGGGGGCTTTACAAAATTTTGTGGTCCTGGCTAACAGTTACATTCATCCAGTGAGACAGACTCCCAGTTAACATTCAAGTACTTGACACCACAACTTCAGGAGGTGGCTGTCTACACCCTGTTTCCCTGTGTGGTTCTCTGACACACACATCTACAGTTACAGAGGAAGACTTGAACGTGACGGAGTCATGCTGGTCAATGTAAGCAGGCATGGGAAATACAGAATAACAACCAGCCATGACCTGGCTTGTTACTAACACAGGCCAATATGGAGCCCATGGCCAACAGCGAGGAAAATGTTCATCTTCACCTACAGATTCACTCCCTCACAGATGCATGGAGCCCTACCCTTTGAGCACTTGGTCAGGCCGCTCCCCCATCTAGAGTCACAAACACAAGTGTAATAAACAAGGCAGGGCGCACAGAGTGTGGATATGGCCAGGAGCTATGAGGGGCAGGGCAAAAGGACTCTGGGATGGGGTAGCAGAAGGTCTTGTCACAGAGTGTCAGGGAGCAGGTTCTGCTGGGAAGATGAAGGTCTATCCCAGACTGGCAGGCGAGGGTCTGGCCAGCAGCTACTGGGGACAGGGCAGGTGGCAAAGGTGTTCTGGGAAACAGAAGGGGCCACAGCAAAGACCCTCAGGCTGGACAGCACCAGCCAGCACACTCCAACAACTTGGAGGAGAGGGAGGATGAGAGGCAGGCCCCTGGGGTTCCCTCAGATGGAGACTTTGTAGCTGGTGATGAGTGATGAGCTGCTCAAGGGTGTGTCCAGCTCCGGGTTCCCACTCAGGTCTACCTAGGGTCCGCTGTGGGTGGAGTGTTTATAAACAAGGCAATCATATCTCAAGTTACAAAACCAACGTCAACACAAACTTCAGCCCACACTGCCACCAGCTCTGGCCACAGGCAACTGATTCAGCTCAGGGCCCTGGGGAGCTGGGCTGGTTTCTGTCTCAGAAAGGAAGCAACTGTTGTTTAACAGAGAACACAAGTCAGCGGAAGGCTGATTCAGGGAAGGAGCTGATACAGAATATTATGCTTCAGAAGAATGAGTTTTATTAGGACAGAAGGCCTGGAGACCCAGTGGGGGTGGGGGAAGCACACTTGCAACTGACTGACTGACAAGGGAGCTTTGGTGACAAGGGAGCTTTGGGAGAAACAGCCACAGTATACAGCACAATGGGGACTGAAGGAAAACCAGACCAGTCCTCAAACAAAAGGGGATTTCTGAATTATTTACAGGTCAGAGGGGCTGCCGTGTGTGGGGACTGGGGTGTGTGGGGATTTAGCCTGACCTAGCCCATGAGCCAAGAAGCCAGATACTGGGTAACACCATAAAGTAATGTCAAGGGGCAGAGGCTACAAGGCCACTGTACAGAATGGCTTCTTAACTCTCCCCTCCTGTTCCAGAGAGAGAGAGAGAGAGAGAGAGAGAGAGAGAGACAGAGACAGAGAGAGAGACAGAGAGAGAGACAGAGACAGGCAGTGAGAGAGAGAGACAGAGAGAGGCAGAGAGACAGAGACAGAGAGAAACAGAGACAGAGACAGAGAGATACAGAAAGGGAGAGAGACAGAGAGACAGAGCAGAGACAGAGACTGCACCAATGGTCTGATTTCTGGGACAAAAAGTCAGCTAGAGGGTCTGTGATCTAACATATTTCAAATTCTAGGGTTTTTATTTTTTTATTTTTTTGTGTGTGTGTGGTGTGTGTGTGCACTTTTGTATATAAGGTCTATGCTTCTAGGTTTATATGTGTCTAAGGATTTTTAAGTCTGCATGTATCTAAGTTAGGGTCCAAGGAGTTGGAAGGTTAATTTGTTGCTTTAGACATTGCCTTGGGGTGAGACCCTGTGACACCCAACCACCCCCACCATGACAAAAGAAATGAGTGAGATGTGGTGGTACATGCAACCCTAGCACAAAAGAGGCAGAGGTAGTGTTAGGGTCAGGCATTTGAGGCCAGCCTGGGATGCATGAGACCCCATCTCACAAAAGAGAGAAAATGCCTTGGGGATATGACCAGAAGCTTGGGGTGTGACTAATATCTACAGGTGAGGACAAGCCCTTGGGGTTGGGGCCAGAGTGCAAAGGAGTGCCAGGGTCTGGAAGAGTGGCCAAAGAGACTCTTCCTAGATAAACAAAAATCAGGGCTGAAATTAATGAAAGAGAAATGGAAAAAAATTACAAAGAATCAATGAAATTAAGAGTTGGTTCTTTGAAAAGGTTGACAAGATTGACAAACCTTTGTCCGGTTTAACCGAGAGGCAGAGAGAGAGAGAGAGAGAGAGAGAGAGAGAGAGAGAGATCAATAAAATCAGAGGAACATTGTAACAGACCCTGAGAAAATTCAGAAAATCCTATGAACGTAATTTAAAAATCTATATTCCACTAAACTAGAAAATCTAAAAGAAATGGATGAATGTCTAGACATATATGGCCTACCAAAGTTAAATCAAGATGAAATAAGTAGTTTAAACAGACCCATAACAATCTGTAAGTTAGAAACAGTAATTAAAAATCTCCCAACTAAAAAGAGCTCGGGACCAGATGGGTTTGGTGCAGAACCATCCCAGACCTTCAAGGAACTAGCACTGGCACTCCTCAAGCCGTTCCATAGACTAGAAAACAAGGAAACAGTTCTAAAGTCTCTCTATGAAGCCAGTGTCACTGGTACTGAAAACCACACAAAGACCTACCTTCCCACCAAGAGGCCAATTTCCCTGATGAGCACAGATGCAAAAATTCTTAATAACTTGCTAAATGAATTCAAGCACACATTAAAAAGGAAGCCATAGCTGGGCGTGGTGGCGCACACCTTTAGTCCCAGCAATCGGGAGGCAGAGGCAGGCGGATCTCTGTGAGTTCAAGGCCAGCCTGATCTACATAGTGAGTTCCAGGACAGCTGGGGCTATAAGGAGACCCTGTCTCAAAAAGACAAAAAAAAATAAAAAAGCCATGATCAAAACTGGCTTAATCCCAGAGATGCAGGGGTGGTTCAACATACATAAATCCATAAATGTAATCTACCACATAATGCAAGACAGAAACAAGATTATTACCTCATTAAATGCCAAAAAGGCATTTGACAAAATCCAACAATCCTTCATGATATAAGTCATGGAGAACCTGGGGATATAGGGGACATATCTCAACATAATAAAGCAATATACAAGAAGCCCACAGCCAACATCATGCTAAATGGAGAAAAACTCACAGCATTTCTCTAAAATCAGGAACAAGACAAAGATGCCCACTCTCTCCATTCCTCTTCAATAGTGCTTGAAGTTTTAGCTTTAGCGGTAAGACAAATGAAAGAGATAAGGGGGTACAAATTAGAAAGGAAGGAGTCAAAGTGTCCCTATTTGCAGGTGATATGGTTCTATATGTAAAAAAGCCATAAAGACTCCATCAGAAAACTTCTAGAACTGATAAATACATTCAGCAAAGTAGCAGGATATAAAATTAAGACTCCCAATCCGTAGCCTTCCCATATACCAACAACATACATACGGAGAAAGAAATCTGGGAAACGAGTCTATTCGCGGTATATCTAGGAATAAATCTAACCAAGGAAGTGAAAGATCTGTGCATTGAAAACTTTAGGACTCTGAAAAAGAAACTGAAGAAGACAATAGAGAAGGAAAGACCTGCTCATGGATCAGTAGGATTCATATTGGGAAAACTGCCACCCTATCAAAAGTCAATGCAAGTCTTCACAGAAATGGAAAAATCCCAAAATTCCTATGGAAACACAAAAAACCTAGGATAGCCGAGACAATCCTGAGTAATAAAAGGGCTTGGAGGCACCACCACCTTTTATTTAACACATTAAAATTGATCCTTTATTTTTTTCCAGAATTACATATTTAATTGCTGTATATAGATATTAGTTGAGGTTTGGTCAGTTTTAGGATTCCCCATCTTGACATTAGCTCTAACCAAATATCTTTCAGAGCATTTAGTATATTCATGCTTGATAAATTTCAAGAGGTCCTGGCAGGATGGCCCAGGGGGTAAGGGCATTTGCTTGCCAAGCCTGATGATCTGACGATCTGAGTTCAGTCCTCAGTACGCACATGGTAGACGGAGGAAACGGACTCCTGAAAGTTGCCCTATGATCTCCACAAGTGCATGTGTCCCTGAAACACATAATAACAAAATGCGGAGGGGACCCACATCTATACCACCTCTACACCTCCCCCCAAGGTTCAGGTAACATTGCAGAAGAGGAGTGGCTAGAGGTCAGGGAGGATGGGGAGGACAGCTAAGAAACTGTCTTCTGGGGTGACAGATCAGAGCCCTCATGAGCTCACTATAGCTCTGGTTGCCTCACAAGATCCACATAGATCAAATCAGTGAGCATTTGGGTATGGTGGGGAAGGGGCCTATGAGGCCCCTACGGCAAATAAGGAGCTATGGACAGTTGATGGCTGCTGAGGGACAGAGGGTCATTTTTCCTCAGGGGTGTGGACCCTGATGGGTTGCCCATGTCCCAGGGGATGACCAGTCCCACAACCAGGCTCACACAGGCAGCACTAACTGGAATTAATGAATTATAGGGGAGGGGAAAAGAGGAAAGGAACTCGGGAAATGGGGGGAAAGTTGGAGGGTGCAAGAGGTTAGGTATGATTAAAAGACCTTGTATATATGTGTCAAATTCTCAAAGAATAAAAAATACTTGAAAGACACTGGGCTGTGCTAGGCCTGAGACAGCTAAGTGGTTTTCACTTTCTTCGAGGAGGGCAGGAGTGTGGCAGGTCACCATGCTGTGCTTTTATCTTGCAGAAGCTCAAAGTAAAGCCTGGTTTAATAAGAAGAAGCATTCACTGACAAGCTCAGGTTTATGATAAGAGAAAAGAGAAAAATGACCAAGTACGAGCCATAACAGATGTCGTCCATATATACCCTGTGTGCTAAGCAGGGCCCTCCCCGAAACGCCTGTGTTCCTTCGGGGGGTATACTCTCCTACTCCCCGACTTCTGTGGCTCCCTTAGTTCTCTATGTGACCTTTCATTACCGTCTGTCTCACCAGGGCCCTGGGTACCCAAATCCCAGGAAGAGGAGGACCTCTGTGGCCTGTCTGAAAATGTCACATCACCCCAACCTGGGGTAGAGGCTGGGACAGGACCCTATATCCAACCTCATCAGTGAGGTTTCCCCTAGTTGTCCAGAGGGGACAGTTCATGACTTGGTGGAAACACACTAGGGTAGGAGTGAGGCTGGTGAGGGTGCAGCCAGCTAAGAACAGCCTCAGACAGCAGCCCGCTGATCCCTTAATATACAGGCAGTCTAATGACAGCTTATTGCAGAACAGTGCACAGGATATATGTCTACAAAATGTCACAATTGAATTCTTTGCCTAATATAATTAATATATGCCAGTTTTAAAAAGCTTAAGGGCAGGGAGGGAATGGCACGATCAGTAAAGCACTTGCCTTCTAAGCACAGAGATCTGCATTCAATCCCCAGCAGCCATGTACAAAGCTGGGCAGGGGAGTGCATGCTTGGAATCCAGTTCTGGGGAAGTAGAGGCAGGAGCTTTCTAGAGCTCTCTGAATGGCCAGTCTGGCTTTTCCATCTCTTTTTAAAAAGAGTTAATTGCGCAAAACGAAGTAGTAAAATGGAGCAGTGGACTGTAAATATCATACATGCCCTACAGCACTTGCCCTTTACCCTGATTGGGCCTTCAAGGGCCAGGTGCCTTATCTGTTCCTGTGCACAATGCCAACCAAGCTTGTACCTTATCTGTGCATCTACCCCTAACTCATCTGTTCATTGGGGAAACTCATTCTGCCAGCCTTGGCTAGTGACAGTACCATCACTAAGGTGAAGTATCTGACTCGGTTGCTATTTGTTTTGGGGGTTGTTTCTGCTGTTGTTGATGTGCCTCCGAACTTAAAGGCAGAAATCATTTTAGACTTGACCTCTTCCCCCATGTCTGGTGCATCTCCTGTTGTTTGGTTGCCATTAGCCTTTGCACCTCTGCTTGGCCTGTGCTGAGAGCTGTGTGGACGGCCCCAGGCTGATGCCTCACTGCAGGATGGGGCCCACATACCATGGGGCCTGGCACAGAGGGATCTCCTGGACTGCAAAGGCAGTGAGCCAGGCTCAGAGGAGGCGGCGTTGCTGGTATTCTGCAGTCAACGGGCACCAATGTTGTGATTGCTTTCCCTAGAATCATCCTAGAATTTTGATTGAGATATCCTCTGCTCTGTAGAAGGTGTTCCTGTTCAGGCAGGTTTTGCTGCAGCCTTCCCCTACCTATGTTTACAAAGGTCTTGTGACTTTATCTTTTTTTTTCATTTATTATTTTTCTTTTATGTATATGCATGTATTGCCTGCATGTAGATAAGTGTGCCTGTGTTGTGCAGTACGGAGGTCAGAAGAGGCTGTTGGATCCCCTGGGACTGGAGTTACGGACAGTTGTTAGCTGCTATGTGAGCGCTGGGATTCGAACCTGGGTCTTCTGCAAGAACAAACAGTGTTCTTAACCGCTGAGCCATCTCTCCAGCCCCACTTTATCTTTCTTGTTCTTGGGGTTTGAATTTGTTGGGATAGAACACAAACTAGCATCTGACATCAAGAAATGAAGGGAAAGGGACAGACATCAGACATTTCGGTGGCATCTGTGCTGCTGTGTGGTAGACAGGCTGCTATCCATGGCGCACTCTGGGTCTCTGTGTGACCAGCCTGCCTGGGCAGCAGCTTTCCCTAGGACCCTTCCCTCTCTGGTATTATGGGGATTATTGAACATGAAAGGCTTCCCCCCATACTCATGGTTTGAGCACTTGGTCCCCAGTTGGTGGCATCATTTTGGGAGGCTAGGAACCTTTAGGAGGTGGGGCCTTGGTAGAAGAAGTAGGCTGCTGGGGAGGGTGGATGTTTATGATCACAGCCCAGTCCTGACTCCAGCCAGCTCTTTCTGCTTCCTGGTTCCCTGAGATGTGAGGACTTGCAGCCATATGCTTCCACCTCCAAGAACTCTGACATACTTTCCTGTAGCCTTTCAAACTGTGACCCAGAATAAAGCCTTCCTCATCAAGCTGCTTCTGGTGAGGTAACTGGTCACCATGAGAGAAAAGGACACTCTGCCTTGGTGTTTCTCAAACCTGTGACTTCTGTGGCTGTGCTTTCAGCACCTGCCATTCCACTTCCTGGGTCTCACACCTGGCCCCCTTGGCGTGGATGGGTGCTGCCCACAGATGTGGAAACAGATGTGGCTGTGGGGCAGTATTCTTTGAAGTGTGACAGCACTCTGATTTTGTTCTCTGAAGAACATTTCTTTTCCTGACAGTACACTGATGCATCTTAGAAAGTTTTCCTAAACAATTCCATCCAGTGTTCTATATAGCTCACAGGGGGAAGGTCCATTAGGGAAGCCATTCTGTGGTATGCTGGGTGCCGAAGCACCAGACGGTCCTGTGGGTTGTGAGTCCTTCTCGTCCTGCCTTCAACACAGACACCCTCCACTGCTCAATCATTGCCCCATATGCCAGAACTGTTCTTCCTAAAAAAAGGTCAAACAGTGACTCACACTGAAAACCTACAGCTAATAAATACTGTGCTGTGCATTGGGAGAGCCGATAAACAAAGCTAGTTAGGCACCACGCAACGCAACTTTGCAGAAAGGCCCCTCTCAGTACGTACCCCTGGGTATACTGTATCCAGTCTCCCCTGGTTTTCGCAGATTCCTCAGGATAGAGTCTGAATGGATGTTTATCACCATGCCCATTAACCACAAAACAAAGCCTGAAAAATAAACAAGATGATTACAGTTAGTGAACTCCAAGACTCAGGAAAGCTGCTCACTGAACAAGCGCACTGCAAACTTTCTGAGTCTTGGCATTAGTGTGGGTTATGAGCCTTAGCTGGCAGCAACAGATACAAGCTCTGACGCTGGCTATGCCAACAGGCTGTTTTCCTAATAATAAATAATCTCATCTACCGCAAATGGTTTGACGATGTTCTCAATCTGTTTTCCCGACAACAGGATCAGAACATAGGCCTCACATCTTGGGCACAGGGTTAATGGCACAGGGGAACTGGTCCACATGTGCATACTCACCTCTCCTATTAGCCAGGAAACTGCACAGGAAATGTGTGGTCTCTCCTGCAGACAAGGAGGGGCAAAGATCCTTCCTGGCTGCACACAGGCCCTTGGGAGGCAAACTTTGGCTTCTTCTCTCTCTCTCTCTCTCTCTCTCTCTCTCTCTCTCTCTCTCTTTCTCTCTCTCTCTCTCTCTCTCTCTCTCTCTCTCTCTCTCTCTCCTCTCTCTAGGGCATGTCTCAGCTTCCACAACTGCTCACCAGCTACCAGCTCCTCAACCAGACCTCTTCTGTGACTCAGTCATCCCTTCTTCAGCTTCCACTCCAGGGAGCTAGTAGACATATCCCCAGCATCAAACCTCAGCCTCCCAGGACTCAGACCATGGCAGAAGAGGGGGTGGAAAGATTGTAAGAGACAGGGGTGGTAGCTGACCAGACAGCTGGGAAGTTACTCCTTATGAACTTAAAGGTATTTTTCATATAGGCTTAAGCACCAAGGTTAGTAGAAGAGAGTAGGGCATGCCCAAGCTACAGGCGTTGGGCACTTCAAGGTGCTCCTAGGGTCTGTTCCATGCAAAGAAGATATCTCAGTATTACATCAATGATTTCTAATCAGAAAAGGCAAAATTGCAAAACAGTGCTTTAAAACAAATAACTGATAGAAAGAGATTAATCTGATTGTTCTCAGCTACTCCAAATGTGAAGGGCAAACGGTACTGCAGTCGCTGTCAGAGTTCCAAGTACCTGGAGCAGCTTGTCAGTCCTTCACCCCTGATGCCATGACACTGGGTGCCCGGTCGTAGCACAGAGACCCTCTGAGAGGGCACCAGAATTCCTTCATCCTGACACAGGAAGAGCAATCCTTTTCTAAATAGCTCATCTCAAATGTCATAAGAGAGTGTAGTGGCCTTGAGCGTTTATAGTGGATCATTTGCTCTGTTTGTTTATTTTGGATTTTAGTATGTCACCTCTAGATGATTTGGCTTCTACATAAGGTTATAGTAAAAAGCAAGCTGTCCAAATTCCATGTTTATCTTACTTCTGTTTTGAATAGAGAAGCTTTGAGTAGTACTTAGACTGGAAGAAAACTAGTGTCTGTGTGCATCCAAGCTAAACAGAATTTAATTTGTGGAATTTTTTAAATCCATATACAAAATCTCTGAAAAGTTATCTGTGATGGTTAATTCTCTGCTTCTGAGTGCTGGCACACGCATGTCTTCCCTGCCATGATAGATGGTCTCTAATTGTGAGAATTTTGTCACAGCAAGAAGAAAGGTAACTAGAAGATTGGAGCCAGGGATACAGTTGCTGTGATAAATTTGAGCTGAGGGTCCGCAGTAAACCTTTAGAACTGGTTTACAGAGGGAATGTGGAGGACTTAGAGCTTCATGCTAGAAAGGCCGAGAATGCTGTGAGCAGAGTGTAGCCGGCCATCCTGGTGGGTGCTCAGAAGATCAGAATGCAAAGAGAAACGAAGAAGGCCCGTCTCGTAGGTTCCTGAGGGGATAAGGACTGGCCCAGGTACTGGATTAGAAGCCATTTGGACAGCCTTACCTTCCTGTGGCCTCTCTGGACCCACCCCTCTGGCCCTGAGCTAGCAGGGACAGCCTCACCTTCCTGTGGTGGCTCTGGACCCCTGCCGGTCCTCTCCACTGGAGAGCTGCTCTCTAGTTTGCTCTTTCTAACTAGAAGCCACTGAGGCCTGAGCCCGGAAGGGATGATGGGAGTGACGTGGGCTCATCTCTCTGCACACTTACCTGCCAGGAAGCAGGGACTGGTCAGCCAGTCCTCCGCATACACTGCGAACTGGCTCAGGTATCTGCTCTGCATATAGCCATTGACGGTACAGAACATGAAGGCCAACACACAGGAAAAGAGCGGTGTGGGTTTCCCTCCTCGGATCAGGGCAGGGAAAACCAGCGTCCTGGAGAAACAGGAGGAAACACAGTGAAGAAGTGAAGGGTATGTTGTATATGACTTGGGTTTCCCCGCCCTGCTTCCTTGTGCAGCTGTCCTCCTTCAGTCCCAGTCCTCCTGATCACTCTGTACTAAAATCTGGAATTGCAGAGACAAGAATTAACTGTGCTTCAATCGAGTATCAATCACAGTATTCAGGATTCTAATTACACAGAATGTGAAACAGACACAATGAGAATTTCCCACTGTTCTAAACCATGAGCCAGAGGGGTGAGTCTGACCAGGAGGATTTGGGAAGATTTGGGGACACTGTCCATCACAACAGTCATCATTCACCAGACCCCTTCTCACAGGAGGCCTCCAGCCGGCCCGGCTGCAGCCCCTGCCACTGCCACTTGACACAGGACAAAATGAAGTCCCAGAGGTTAGAGAATCTGTCCCAGGTCATGGGGCTAGCAGCAGCAAGTACAAATTCAAGTACCAATCAGTGTAATTCCAAGATTATGTTTCTGTCATGCTGCACTGGCTTAGGTGGACTTTGCATTAAGGCTCGGAGAAGGAAACAGAGAGAGATCACAAACACAAGAGAAATAACCCCCCCTTTGCCTTCTCTCTTAAGGTTTTGTCAATTCGCAAGTGCAGACATCACTGTAAACCTTCCAGACCTTAGAGGACTACAGTGAACGATGAAGCCGAACACTCGACGGAACAAAGTCCTCCAAAGACAGAGGAACAAAACGGACCGAAGAAGAAATAAGCCCGAGTGCCGCTGGCTGGATGAGAGTGTAGACAGGAGATCCTGGGACGGCAAAGCCAGAGTCAGTGGACGCTGACTGCAGACACAGGGAACCTCAGATTATACTGCTTCATCTGAACTTGAGAGACCTCTGACACGAGGTCTAGAAAGGCAAAACTATAGTCAGTGGAGGGGAAGGCTGGTTACAAAGACACACGGGGTATTTTCAGAGGAATCAACTGCTGTCTATCCCGATTTTGGTGCTTACAAAACCATTATGCAATCACAAAAATGAAACTGTAGCCAAAATGGGCTATTTTTATTTTTGCAAATTATATCTTAATAGATGGCGAAGGGAAAAAGTTAAACCTGACAAGCTGCTTCCACAACAGCCATCCATTCTGGCCCCTCTCCAGGGAGAAGCCAGTTAGTCCCTCATAAGCAGGGCACCAGGAAGAGTCACGTGGTACTAGCCATGCTTAGTACCATCTCTTCATGTCAGTCTCCTTTGACTCCTCAAGAGACATGCACACAAACCAAGTTCCTCTTCTTGTTCAGTTCAGCCCCAATGACCATTTCCTACATGTTCAAAGCTAACCCTCAACATCCATGCAGCACCTGTTGTCATCAAGTCTTTGTTCAGCCTTTCAGCTATCAGGCTGTCTAGCACCCAACAAGGATGACGGAGTGATGATGGAGTGCTGTCATCCCTGCCGGGACTCTGGACTCTCAATGGTGAGGGAGAGTTGGTCTTGTGGCTGACATCTGGGATGTGTGCTCACTATAAATACACATCATGCTAGCTTTCATGGAAGAATGAGTAGGGTTTGCCCTCATCTAGGTGAGAATGTTTTCCTCGGAACACTGTAGGCTTCCCAAAGCAGGTGGATCCAACTTGCGACCAGGTGCTGTATATAGTACCTTTCCCCAGGTGTGAGACCCAGAAGAAGGAGCTGTGACAAAATGCAGTGCTTCTGACGCTACCCTGAGAGGCAGCAGCCTTCCTCCTGAGGTCAGCCCAGGGCAGTCCCAACACAATGAACATGAAAAAGGGGGTGTTCACCAAAAAATACTGAGGGAGAAAAAGTGGGAAAAAAAGAATTATCGGGATGCTGGGTTCGCTTTAGAAAAGATGCTTCTCAGGGCTGGGAAGGAGGCTGGGCCTCCAACAGTACAAACTGTTCTTGTAGAGGACCCGAGTTCAGTTCCCAGCACCCCATGTCTGGTGACTCACAACCACCTACACCTATAACTTCAGCTCCAAGGGATCTGATCCCTTTATCTGGACTCTGAGGGAAGCTACATTTACACAAGCGCATACACACACACACACACACACACACACACACACACACACACACACACAATCTTAAAAAAGGATACAAAAGATGTCTGTTAAAATTCAGTTTACTGGGGCTTGGGAGGATAGCTCAGATGGTAAAACACTTGCCTTTCGAGCATAAGGACCTGAGTTTAATCCCCAAGGTTGTGAGCACTCATAACCCTGGCACTGGGGAGGCAGAGAGTGGCAGGTCTATGGGGCATTCTGGGAACTCAGCCTGTCCTAATCAGTGACTGTCAATAAAGCTGTATAAAACCTGAAGAATAGCACTTGAGATTGACCTCTGACCTCCACGTGCACCCACACACAGACTTTACAGTTCTCTGCATCTTTGGGACATGTGTTCTAAGAGCCCCACAGATCCTCAAGTCCTGGGATGCCCAAGTCACAATCACACAGAATTTGCATATAGCACGCACACCATCTGTATACATTACGTCTTTTCTAGATCACTTATAACACCTAGTACAAGTCAATGTAATGTTCATAGGTGTTATACTTAATCTCAATAAAATCCTGTATCATTCAATAGAGATCTAATTTTAAACAAGCTGGTTGAATACACACATGGAGCTAATGGACACAAAGAACCGACTGTCCTTAGCTCCAGACTGGCGTTGCTGATCTCAACAAACCCATTCTGTGTTCCAGATGGGATAGGAAGGTAGGGTCCAAAGAGGAAGGGAAATTAGGAAGCTTAAAATATAAAGAACAGATGAGAAAGCAAACAATGTGACTAAGACTTCTGGCCGATGAGCAATTTATAACAGATTAGGTGTTGGTGAAGGCAGCCCTGTGGGTTAGCCTGCAGGCGGCCACCTTCTCCAGGGTAAGGAATCAGGCAAGGCTCTCACCTGTCCTCCGCACTTCAGTCCCACGTTCAGGGCTGAATGAACCAGTGGCAAACACTTGCTGGCACCTTTTAAAGGCAAAGGCCCACTCTGTCTTCATGTTCTTCCTCGCTGTGTCTGTCATCACCCACGTGAGTCTGACTGAGTGGGACACCATCCAGGGGCTAAATCTGTCGACCACAGATGTGACCAAATTTCTCTCTAAACACGAAGCGGCTCTCTGCTGTCACAGCGGTCGGGTGGCTTCGTAAAGTTTTACTGCACTGTTTTGAGCTCAGAGCGGTGACAGAAACTTCCAGGGCAGAACAGCCCTCCAGCACTCTTGGTGAGCTCTGCAGACTTGAGAAGGTATCCTAATGACTCTTCTGAAGTTCTTGAGGCAAACAGCACCAACTTACAAACACACCACGTGAGAGTCACTTCAACATCAGCATTGCTGGAATCAAGTCATGGTGCGAATTTCAACATGAGATTTCTACTGTTACATAAACCTGCAGTAGCCCTGATTTCCACACTCAGACTATGGCTCTGACATGTTTCACAACCCTGAATCTCCACATTTAAAAATGCTTTTGGACAAGAGGGATTTGTCATCCAACCCTCAATGGAAACAAATCAGTCTGCAATGTAGTAACACAGAAGGTGTGTACCACGGCATGACGGACAGAATTCCATGTGGCTTCCAAGTGCACTGCTGAGAGTGCATCCCCGTGGACTGCTCTCGACATCTGCGTTTTCAATGACACAAACTCTCATGAAGGGTCAGAATTAAGTGATGAGCACTTACAAAACATGTTTTAATAACGGAACATGATGCTGACTCAACAAATGAAATGTTACCCCAACCAAAAATGTCCATTTTTATTAGACTGGTACCACAAAATTGCAGTATCACACACACACACACACACACACACACACACACACACACACTCACACACACACACACTCACACACACATGCAATTTGTGGTGCTAGGGACTGACCAAGGCCTCATACATTCCAGGCATTAAGATGTTTTGAAACCAGGAATGGTGGCACATGCCTTTAATCTCACAGACTTGGCCCAGGAAACAGACTTGTGGCTATTGCCGCTGGACCTACTCTGCTGTGGGTGAGGACACACCTCCCTGTGCCCAATCACAACAGGACTGTAGGCTAGGCCCTAGAGGAACCCGGAATGGACATTAATGGAGGACCTGAGGCCATCGCTGCTCCCTTTCTGATCTCATGTGAATATGGGCCTTGCAAGGGTCAATACAGGTATCACCTGTGGCTCCCTGGAAGGGACAGTAGCAGTCCTTATGTGCACAGGACCAACTCTAAAACCAGAGGTCAGAAAATCAGCAAAATCAGAAAAAGAACTAGATGGCAAGTGGGGGATGCCTGAGTATCCAAGTCTCTCAGAGGACAGTAAGATCTGCTTCTTGACCTGCTTCCTTCTTGAGGAGCTCTGTGAGACCCACCCTTTGGTGCTGAGGACACAATGAGGGTCTTCATCACACAAGCCGCCTTCCTGAGGTGCTCACTCCTGGCAACTTCCACACTGACTTCCTGTTTCATCCCTTGAGTGTCTCTTCTTCTGGAAATCATGAATCTGTGGTCAGTCTTCAAAGCAGCATGGTGGTTGGGTACAGAGGTTTGAGGGTTTGGCTTCTGAGTCTTCATCTGGGGAGTTGATGGTGTTTCTGACAGTTATCTTGAACCCCACACAGCCTGTAAGGCTGAGCCAACACATATGGGCTTTATTGGGGGGGGGCTAGGGATTGGAACTCAGGTCATCCAAGCACTTTACCAATTAAGCCCTCTCTAAGAAGTTAGCTCTTGAATTATTACTCCCCACACTAGAATACTAATGTTCCAGCCTTCTTACAAACAAGGCATTCGTTAATCAAATGATTTGACTCTTGGAAGAAATGTGGCACCTATCTCAGGACAACCTGAAACCTCATGACCTCATATTTGGGAACAGTGAACTATTTAATGTCTTCAGAGTAACTTGGGCTGTGGTAGACATAACCTTATGTTGGAAACTGAGAATGGTTTTATTTTAATCATTTTATTACTCTTCTCAACAA